ATTGAAAAATTGAATTGAATTGATGTATAACTGTGTGATGTTTAATTGTGTGATATATATACATGTGTGATGTATAACTGTATAATGTATAATTGTGTGATACATAATTGTGTGATGTATAATTGCATCACAAACTTACAACCAAAGGTGACATCACATTATGCCAGGAGTCCCCTGCCAAGCTTCATCCAGATTTTACTTTATGACTATTTGCTTATTTACTATTGTACAAAGAGAAAGGAACATTAATTGATTTTATGTAAAAAAAAAAAACATTTATATGCATGTTACTATACAGGAATTACAAAATCAGAAGGTTTATGAAGAGAATTATTATTGATAAATAGATTAAGCATTGGTTGAATGTAACTAATTACATATATTAAAGTACTGTACTGAAGTGACAAGTCCTTCTCTTTCAAAGTTATCGAAACTCAGCTCACTTCTACACACAAGCACAATGTTCAAAGATGAGTCAACACGAGATGGAACTCCACACTGAGGCAAGGGAAATTCTGCACTGTGAAAGCTCTGTCCTGTTATGGAGAAGGCTGGTTCACAACATGGGGAGTGGAATCTGTTGGGAGGGGTTGGTGGATGTCCTGAAGCCGTTTAGAGAAGCAATAGATTTGACACGGGGGGTGGGGAGACCTCAGTCTGTCTAACTTCCGGCGCTATTATTGGGCTGCAAATTCTAGATGTTTTGGCATATTCAGATGAAGTCATCGCCTCCACCTTGCAATTGAAAAGGACCTTACTAACAGTACTTTAGTATTTTGGAAAAATAAAGTAATTACTGCTATATCAGACCTTTATTTCAGCAACACTTTGCCACCTTTGTATAGCTAAAGGACAAATAAAAAACTCCCATCCTCATAGTTCTTCCCTTACCTGCAGATTAGGGATTAAACCCATACAAATATTACATTTAGAGTCTATTCCAGTTCCTATTGAACCGTATACTCTTATGAATCAGGCCCCTAAATCTTTTCACAGACTATTATCATGTTTCCACACAGTACTTACAGAAAGTTACACTCTTTTTTTATCCTTGTGTCTGTTAAATTTGGCTGAAATGTAAAATCAGTAGAGGGCACTTTAGGCCACCTCTTCTGGCCTTGCCCCATGCTAAGCAAGTTCTGGTCACTAAACAACTGTGATATTAAACTAAACTTAACCACTGTCTTTAAACCCTGTGCCACGTCTATGGGTTGATTCAGATCTTCGAAATGTTTGTTGTCAACCTACTCTCTCTCCATGACTCCTGTGTCTCAAACAGTAGCAGTGTATTGGTACACAAACTCACGGTTTGGTACAACCTGGTTTTGAGATCACGGTTCGGTATCTTTTCAGCACAGCAGGGATGACAGAGAAATGTAAAACAACAGCATTTTTGTCATTTATTTTTAAAAATGTAAACCATAACATGTTGGCCTAGTTCTTTCTGTAACAGTGGTGCTCAAATACTGCCACATTGTCAATAAGAAAGAGGGGTAACACTTGATTTGAATCCGTCCACCTAAAAACAGACAATTCATTAACATACCTGAAGCAAATGTTTTTGTGCCTAACCCTAACCAAATTGATAGTTCATCCTTGCAAATGTCCTCATTGTAGGATTCATAAAGGATTATTTTATTTGTTAAACAATTCAACTATTGTAAGACTTATTTGTACAGAGCAGCACAGAGGACTAACATGAACATGTAAAGGTACACTAGCAGACCATATGCTTAAATCCTGTATTCTCTACGACCGAGCACGTCTGCAGCATTTGAGTTTACCATTCAGATAGCAGCAACGCTACATGAATTTAAGTTTAACCAACACCAGTTGTTGTCTATCAGCTTGTAGTCTAGAATTTCTGTTACATACGTGTGAGTAGTATCCATTAATAGACTATCCTGACAGCAATCGTACTGTAAGTTACAAGGAACTCGCATACCTAACCAAACGTCTTCTACTGAACTGTTCAGGATGAATTCACATACATAAACGCCTGCGTTAACAACAGTCTCAAACCCAACCCGGCCTGTCTATGAAGATAAAAAGCCCCAAAACCTTAACATATAAGAAAACTGGGAGAAACCTTGGGAGAGGCCTTCAAAAAGACAATCTCCTTCTAAAGACAACTAGACTGTCAATGACTGACAAAATAAAGGATTTTTAGAGCAAAGAAACTAATTCTTCCTCCCAAACTTATTTATTTATGTAACATTTGTGTCATTAATGTTACTATTACTGTAACATCACTTTTAATACATTAGAGCACTTTGGTTTGACAAAACAACCTCTTCAGATGTTTAGAGATTTCTTTCATTTTTACTCCATATATAATTGGATTGAACAGAGGATGATACAAAACTGTTTGTAAAGTCATAACTAAACGTGCAGCTTTTGGAAAATCGGATCCCAATCGAGCTATAATGATATCATATGAACACAAACAGGAATAGCTGATTAAAACCAACAGGTGGGGTAAACAGGTCTGTGCAGCTTTTTTTCTGACATTTCCACAACTTCGATAGGATATTACAAGTATCCTGGTGTATGTAAAAAGTATGAAGAGCACAGGGAAAAGCCCAATGTTTAACAAAGCAAAAACACCAAAGACAGATATTGCTTTTGAAGTCACACAGTGGAGACTGTAAATTGAATTGTTACAAATAATCCCTTTTAAAGTGAACTTACAAAGTTTCATATTAGCACTCAGTATTACTGGGACTGCAACATGACAAGCAGGCACAAACCAAGCTAAAGCCAGGAAAATACTCACTGTAGTTTTTGTTCATGTCCCATTGAATGCCATGCTTAAACTTCACAGTTTTTGTGCTTTTCGTTTCGTAGGTTCTCATATACTCCTGTTTGTAACCCTGTCCCTAATCTTTCTTGACCTGCCTGCTATATTATTTAATAATATACTACTGATTATTATGAATTTTCTTTAAAAAACGTCGGGGAACACTGAAGAGGGCCGAGAATTGTTGAACATTCAGAACCCATAAATTTCTTATAGAAGGTCATAAGAGTCATAAAGGTAAACCAGGAAGTGATGATAA